ATAATTAGTGTTAATATTAGTATTGGGGTACTGATATTGGTATTGTTATTGAGGTAATGATATTGGTATCAGTTAATTAATATTATTATTAAAATTAATAAATTGATTAATTGGTACTTCCATGGTAACTTTCACACGCGATTATCCTAATGACAGTTTTATTATTTAGCTTATTGATATCATTTAAAGAAATTGAATGAAATCATGGTGAAAATCAGGACAAATATGTCTCTGGAGATTCGAACCCTAGACCGATTTCCTGTGAAACAAGAATGCTACTGGGTTCGCCACAGGTTTCGCTGTCACGTTTACCTTCTACCACCTATTTCTCTCGGGTAAGCCCGTTGTCGTCTAACTTGCTAACCTCGAATTACTCGCAAACTGTTCGCTGTGTAAACAAAGTTTTCGCGTTAACACTGCGTGGCTTCCATGACCACCTATGACATCAAGATCAATTTCCGTCGCTTTGCTTCGAAAAGAAAATTCAAAATCAAATTCAACAATCACGTGTTCCTTACGAATACTTTAAGTATCAATTTTTTAGCATTGCAGGATATGTCTTACAATTGAAAATGCTCTTTCCTTTTATCCTTAATCCTTTCGTCCAGACAAGGGACGCAACGGTCCCCTGTCGAACGTTTGGTAAAGGAAACTTTGGCCTCGATACAAAGTTTCTTGGAAGCCTAGAATTCTGTGTAACAGACGCATCGGTTTCCAAGAACTGTTAGAAACTAGTTTCCACACTGCCCTTCAGAGACTCTTGAATTTATGACATCGTATCTGTTTGCTGTCCCGGAGAAACGAAAATTACGAATTCCATTTAAATTTCCACCAGGAAACGAGCCAATCGTTAAATGAAAATCATTGAAACTGGCTATCTAAACTTTGCTCTTAAATTGAGCTCAAATTTAATATTAGAAATTCCTGAAGAAGTTTAAACCTCGAAGAAAATATACTTTATACAAAAAATTCTAATTTTATCTTATGATACCAGTTCAATTAAATGTTACTACAATCAGAAGCATTCAATAAAAGAATTTTCAAAGAACTTTCAGAGTTCACCCCTTGTCACCACACCAACCCTTCATAGCTTCGATTCCAATCCTCCCCAACAAATAAACCTTATTGGTTCGTGGATAAAGTTTCCCCAGACCAAGTGATCGTATAAGTTCTTTTTAACTAGCTTATTTTACTCTTCCTTCAGCTCGTATAATAGATTGATTTGAAAATAACTCTTCATTTATTTCATCAAACACAGAAGTGGAACGAGTATAGAATTTCTTTAAATACTTCTTTAATTTCATCCCAGCTGCAATATTCTGAATCCTCTTAACTCGTTATCAAAGTCCTCTTACCCTGTCTGATAATGCTGGAATAATATTGCCAGATCCGTTTCAGTGGCATGAAAATTATGAAACTTGATAAACGAAGATAATCACGTTTTGATTCGTTGGAGCTATCTGTGTCAGAGGGTGCTCCGATTATTTCGCTTGTCCGTTCCATTTTCACGAAACGAAGAATAATTCTAGAAATAGATAGGCAATGAAAAAGTCCATCCCCTGGCAATTGCATTGAAATACATTGATATTTTGTGAAAATTTTTGATCAAACGTTGGAATTAATTTTTATACAAATGATTACTTAGGGAGGAATTTTTTGAATTTTGAAATTTTTCATATTTAAAGCTATCTAGATCGAAATCTTCCTAATTGGGAATCATCTAATTCTGAAAATTATCCAAATTCAAAGCTAGAAATTTGAAATTACACAATTTTGAAATTTTCCATATTTACAACTACCTAGATCGAAATCTTCCTAATTGGGAATCATCTAATTTTGAAAATTATCCACTTTCGAAGCTAGAAATTTGGAATTACCCAATTTAGAAATGTTCCATATTTAGAATTAGGTAAACTGAAATCTTCCTAATTGGGAATCATTCCTTTTGTAATCTTCCATGTTTCAACACACAGTCCAAAGTTTCCGAACGAAAGTTCAATTCCAAGATAGGAGCCCATAAATCTCGGTTGACCAAGAAACATCGTTTTCAGAAGCACTTTAATAATTGGCAGGTGATCTCTGGCCAAGGTAAACGCGAGAATATTTCACACTGGCCGGACAGGTGCATCCCACAAAAAAGAATACAAGCTTTTCCACGGCGCTGGGAAAATGTAGGGGCAAAAATTTCCCAGCTTCTAGTTCTCGCCAGCCAGGAAAATATTGCTTGTAAATTTCCAGAGGACGGACCAGTATATCTTGTCGCTCTTTCCTCTCACCCTTCGCCGTTTGATTTACTCCTCGTTCATTTTTTTGTCGACCCTCTCTTTCTCCTACATTTTCAACGATAACCCCGATGAAGCGACGCTCTCGTTCATTCTGCGTCGTCGTAAATTTTTTCGCCGCGATAGAAGTTACGATTATCTGTCGCTTCGAAAACGCAGCCCTTTGTGTCTCCTGAATTTTTATCCCTTCACTGCGACTCGATATTCCACGCCTATCTTTATATATAACATGTAACAAACATATATAAATAATATTTTTTGAATTTTGAAGGAAACTTGTTAATTTATATTGGAAGTTTGAAAAAGAAATTGATGGAATATCAAAGAGAAGTAGATTGACTTATAAATTTTCAAAGGATTGTTTTATTGATTGAATAATTCATATTATTAAAAAAAAAGCTTTTGTATATCCCTACATAGAGAAAATGATATAAATTTTAACGTCAAAGAAGTGTAAAACTGATTATTTAAGTATTTAAGTAGTATAGGTCAGCGTATTAACAGACTCCTTTGGAGTACAATGATAAAAGTTTTCTTATTTCGTTGGAAACCAATAGTAAATATTAGAGGCGACTAATTGCTAAGGTAACTCCATCAAAGTATTCAACTAGTCAGACGCATAACTCCGCCAGGGTGATCAATACTTCATTTGAACTTGGTAGCAAGTAGTTCGAGACAATGACTAGTCGGACACCCTCGAAACACCGCAATTACAGCCGCGGATTTCCAACCGGAACTGTCGCTCATTAACAATTTGACACTGTCTGCTATTATAGTATGTAATTTCTATTAAGTGATTCTTGATACCCTTCATTCCTTTCTGTAATAAAATTGAAACATAACTGATAAATTTTCAACAAATTCTCTTTTCTAAAACTATCAAAATAATAGTTCTTATAAAAATACTTTCTTTTTTTTTTAAATTAAGTATTTTTATACGATATCATATTAATTTATCCCACTAGAATCTTAAGTTTGAATTCCGATAACCTTTGATAACAAGTTTCAATTGAACTTGCCGGAAACTTGTGTCCTCTGAAACTCTCTAAACTTGAATATTTCAAACTCGGTTATTATAATTGTAATCTGGCAGTGAACTCTAGCTGGCAGAAAATTAACACGTTAATTGCCAAGAGACCAGGACGATCTGCTGAGTTATGCGGTCGGGGACCATTGTGACCCACAACGTATTAAGTTCGCCAAAGAACGTCCATTATCTTCTCAAATGTCGCAAATTGTTCATCTACAATTCGGCCTTTTCGTCGTAGGATTCTTGTGTACGTGTTAATATTCGTTTGCTTTTCAGAGTGCTGTTAAACATTTCGGTAAATTCAATTTAATATAATTCTAACAACTAAAATAAATTATTCTAGCAATTACAAGTTTTTCTTTCTCGACACTTGCATCGTTCGTTAGTTGAATTAATTAGAAAGAACCGATGGTACGTGAAAATTGATACGGCCTATAAAACGGTTAATCGTTCCTCGTAAATTCACGTGTTGGCTTGGAAGTTGCCGAAGAAACCGCGGTTACGACTCTTTTACCCGGGTATATCTCTTCCGTCTCGCTTGGAAACTATCGTTTCTCGACCAACCTCGAGTTTCTGTTTCCGGGAATCCTCGAATATCGAGGACCAAAGCGATAGGGAAACTTTGTTTCTACAACCTTCCCAGGAAATCAGCTTTGCAGAGCTTCTGTTATTTCGTAGTTGTGTGTGTATATCGTTTTCTTTCGATAGAGTAAGACGCATATTCAATGGAGAACCTCCCAGTTGTCGAAAGCGTGTCGGGAACGTGTACGAAATTCGTTTAAAAGTTTGTCGTTTTATCAATAGAACGCGTGTTGCTTCTCTGTTTTATAATAATGGGACAGAAACTGCGGTGGATTCTTCTTTGAATCGTCTATATTATTTTTTATTATGCAAGTATTGAGCAGTTGATGATATTTATTTCAAGGGAAATAAAGTTAAAAAATTTTCAAAGTAATCGAAAAATAAATACTTTGAATTTTATCTTCAATTTTAAGTTACAAAAATTTACAAAAACTTATATTCAGAGGTTTTACAAGCCTTACAATTTGCAACAGCGATACTTTTCGTGTTTTTCGAGCAAACCTGATCACCGTTGCTTCGATTTCGTTCAAAGTGTCTTTGGCCAGGGCACCGGGGGGGTTGAAAGCTGGTCGGTAAAGCTACTTGAAAATTTCGCGGCCTCTTCATCATCAAAGCTACACGCGTCTCTAATTTCTACTTTCGCAAGCAATTTTCCATGAGGCAAACGCGTTGCACGTTTCGAGCCGACGGCCTGAAAAAGGTATAATACACTCGATTTATCGAAGTGTAACGCGTTCGTTGCCGCTTCTTTTATCACCGCGGTGGCCTCCTTCCGCTCTTATGGTAATTAGGAGAGAACACATCGTTCGTTCATTAATTCACGTGGAAATGCGTGTGTGAAATTCTTCGTCCAAGCCACAGAGTTTATTCCCTGATTACTCCACTGAGATAGCAATAATTCAAATCTAATTTCACGTTTCATTAAATTTTTATTCTCTAAACTTTTTCCAAAAGTTTCATTAATTTCCTTAATTTTTATAAAAATTGAAACTGCATCCGTTATTTTACAATTAATCCTTTGATTGCACCAGCTTCTAAAATATTAAATTTAAATTTGTGAAATATTTTATATCTTATCGCTGACTTTGAATTCTTTTTTGTTTCAGGGGTCGCACACGGTATCAGATGTTACCAATGCGGACAGTACAACGAGGGAGTCGGCAGCATCACGCCGTGCATCAATTACACCGCTCACATGCATCTGAAGGAATGTCCATCGTCGGTCGAGTGGTGCATCGTAAGTAGATCTCATATGTTCTCGTAAACGTAGAGCACTTGCGAAATAACCGGATTCCTCTCCGCGACGGGAATTGCGAATACGTCCAGGCTCGTTGTATTCTTCCTAACATTTCCGGCGACCCGCTACGACGTACAACCCCATGAATATTTCAAACATTTACTATCGTGGATTTCTCCCTAAGCTGCTGCAGATTTTTCATTGTCTTCCGGTTTCCCGTGAAATAATCCCGTAATAAAGAATATTTTACACGGGATAGAAACAAAATTTCGCTGATCACTGGTGAACGACACCATAAACTTTTTAACGCGAAAGAAATATGAAAAGAATCATCGCTTGTCAATAGCAGGCCATCAGATACCCCTTTAAAGCCGAAGGAAAAAGTTCCACCTCTGCCTCGTACGTTCTAAAAGAATTGTTCGAAAGAAAAATATCTTGGAAGGAAATCTTCGATAGAAAAGCTCGGTGAACTGGAAGCGCGGGTAGCAACGATCTCGAATCGCGAAAAAAAGAGTTGGACGTCGCGTCGCGGCGCCAAAGATCGTTTGACACTCTTCCAAAGTCGTGTTATTCATCCTCGTGTCGATGCGGATTTAGCAAACAGATTGACCGACACGATTCTGCCAGCTTGCGTTTAGGATCCCCGACTTCCGTTGCTCGTAAAAATTTCTTGTAAAGCGAATCGGAAAATGAGATACGAATCGGATCATTTCTATTCTTTCCAAACTCTATTTCACTCACGATCGTAAAAATATATAAAGTTCGGTGAGAAGATTTTCAAACAAAAATATACCAAGCTAAAAATATAGATTCCTTTTTTAACATAGACTAAAATTAACTTCGATCTGTTTTTCATACTCTGCAAAGGGTACTTCAGCTTTCGCTTGATCGTTTCGCAAAAAGTTCGCAATCTCCATCCACCGAAAGTGCGGACAAAGATCAGAATCATATTTAAGGTTCATTTTCATTAGCCTGAAAGCTATCCCACGCGATCATCGAGCTTTTTATGCATCCTCTGTATCGTTACTGCTATTTTTCATTCAATTTTCATCTCGCCACAGGCAGCTGACTCCGCGAAATAAGTCGGCTTCTTCTACGTTTCCATTATTAATAAATATTAAAATTATTCTATGAATTTTGTTAAGTCCTCCTATTGGCTCGGCTATCGAAAACAGAGCCATGTGTCTTGATTTTCATCAACGTAAAAGCGTTCTTCTTCGACTCAATTATTTCTCTTTGTGGAAATATTAGGATTCTCTTTGGTCAGCACAAGTCGGAATTATTCAATTCTGAAATTTTCCATATTTGAAATTCCATAAATTAGAATATTCTTAATTGAGAATCGTCGATAATCTTCAATCTCTGTTCATTTGCTTCGGGTAGGACGTTCATTAGGATGACCATATTATTGCTAATGCACCATCGTCGGACGTGGCCTCCAAATTAGTGCCAAGAGGTTGAATCTGGCGGGTATTAATTAACATTTTGCTGCTCCAATATCGAACTGTCGAGCGTGTACATTTGAGGATTCCCGCGGGATTTGTGTGACGGTGTCGTTGTTCGAATACGAGCAACTGTTCGTGAACGTAATTGTTGGCATGCGGGCTCTTTGATGCGTCTTGGGAGGAGGAGAAGGTGATAGAAGCAGTTTCAACCCTTCTAAGAGGGTTGGATTGACGTGCGTGGGATTATTCATAAAAGATTTTCAGATGACAAAATTTGGAATTAGGTATTTCGGGAAATACCAAAATTATTTAATTTTGAAATTACGTATACTAAAATTTTCCAAATTGGGAATCATTCAAATTTGGAATTCTCCATGCTTCAAATGACGTGCACTAAAATTTTTCAAACTGGGAATTTTCTAGTTGTACAGATTGAAACTTGTTCTACGTGGAATTACGTGTATTAAAATTTTTCCAATTCAAAAATATTTCAAACTGGAAGTAAATTGACCAGAAAATTTTCTAAATTCCCAAAGAATCTCCCAAAGAATAACAAGGCTCACTATTTATCCACTAAATCAAATGAAAATTACTCCGCCAATCATAATATAAAGAAGGACTTTGAAAGTTTCATTGGACGATTATTGGAACGGAACGAGCAGCTGTAGCCAGAACGAAGCTACTTCGTGGATCGACAATGCTTCCGAATCGATCTCACTTTTCGCATTGAAGTCTGTTCTCCCGTAACCAATGGTGTCCCATAAATATTCCAGATGGTCAGACTCAATTGAATCACGGTTCGGAGTCGATGAAACCGGAATCCACTGGGTTCGAAATATTTCAAGAAGCATCTCGATACCATCGATCCTCCTTCTCAAACTGATCACGCTTCATGGAATTATTCATGGACAGGGAAAGATACGATAAAAAGACCAACCGAGAAATTCCCGAGAAATCCAGCTGCTTTCGATGTCCTTTGTCCAGATTCTTCTTCATTATTTCTTATTTGATCAGTTAAATAGAACGTGGTTTTTTTTGGGTAAAAAATACTGAAGATAAATTACCAAAATTAATTCATTCATATTTATTGATGTTTAGGCTTTTTTTAAATACAAATTTTATTATTTAGAGATCTGTAATAATTAAATTAAGGAGGATGATGGGATCAAAATGATACCAATTCAAATTGAATACTTGAAAATTGTGGTATGTCGATTAGGTCAGTAGAGGAGGATGATTCTTTCCATCTGGAATCTGAAATCTGACGAACGGAATGGAGGAATAGTCGATAACCAAGCCGATTTCCAGCGATCGAATCCGTCTCTTTATCGGTATCAATTGGCTATCTGGAAATCTGGCTGCCACGTTGTACCGGTATTCCAGTATTCACAGGGGGCCTGGAATCTCTGGAATGAATTGTGTCGGTCTGTGGAAGATGGAATCTCGTTCTCAAGTCGCTGACGATTCCTTCATGGGTCACAGAAGCCTCTGTACCTCCGAGCTTGCGATTTATCAGTCTTCCAAATTTACGAGAAAGATATTGTTCTAGTTTTTCTATCATTTTGACTCGACTCGATTCAATTCAATTCGACTCGAATCGAAACAATCAACATTGATTCGCGTAAAATCAATAAACGAATAAAAGGAAAGAAGTATTTTTCGAAGAGACCAAATCCAAGCCGCGAATTAAGTCCGATTCGTTAACGAGCCTCGCAATTTTCGTCGTTTCCGGTCCACGACGAGCCGATAAACGAGCGTTCGGGCTTGAATCGGGCTTTAATCGACGTCCAGTTGGTAAACAAGGGCCACTCGTGAGGAAATCGTTTCGACTTCGTTTCTGAATGTATTTTAATACGAACCAGATCGTAGCTCGAATGTTTTGCCGCTCAAATAATTACCCCTTTCAGCAGGCCGCTTTCTCTTCGGTTCGTTAAACCCGATTCATTCGGAGTGCAAAAACGAAACGCCCCTTTTATGGAAACGATTCCGTGTGGCTGTGATAATAGCAAATAATATGATGGAAATAACGGCTTCCGCCTCTGTTTTCTCGATAATTCCAAAGCAGAGCTGTCAGAATTGAAAATTTGGAAATTTTTATAGCTCGAAATTTTCCTGATTGAGATTTATTTAATTCTGAAATTTTCCATGTTCAAAATTTTCCTAATTTTCCTAAGTTCCAAGGGTGAAACATCAAATATCACTCAACCACGTCACTAAATTTCCAATTTCATTAGAATCTCTCAGGATCTTCTGGCAACTTGGTTGCCCGTTAAATTCCACCACCTTCGTCATCCGTCTATTTCTAATTACCAAGTGAAATTAATTATACCGTTCGCTAGCGACGTTCCGCGTGCCAATACTTCCTTTCATCCAATTTATATCGATCTCCGAACAAGAAGATCACAACTGTGAACTAGTGGTTTTAATCTATGGTCAAGAAGCACCAGATACTCCTCCATGGTGTAATTCCGTCAATTGCTGATTCGATTACCGATCCAATTTACTTCGATCTTCTTTTCTCGAGAAACGTTTCTTCTACCCTTAAGTACACCAAGTTTCAATTTTCTTTTGATACTTTCTTTGAAATATACCAAATTTTAATTTTTATTTCATACTACCTTTCTGTATTTTCTTAAAATTTTTGAGATATCTTAACAGCTCCATTTGTCTGTTCCTCCATCGCGAGAGGTAAAAAATTCACGGTTGCATCAAACATGCAAACACATAACAGCTCATAAGTCGGGCCATCTGTTTCCAAGGGGATATTGTCGCTGTATATTTATGGGATGCACGAGTACGTACCATATGTCCTGGAAGACGAAGAAACGTGTATATCCTGACATTTTTTATCTTGTCCAAAACACTACACCTTCATATATACCGTGATTCAATTTATATTAAAAAATGTTTTTAATCTCAGGAATTATTATACAAACTCCTTTCATCTTTCGACCCAATTTTAATCAAAGGAATAATTTTTAATCAAAGCATCGTTTCGATTAAAAAATCTGTTGTTGTCTTGTCAGATTGGTTATTGGAATGATCGTATGTCGCGCAATCTTCTTTTTTTTTTATTGATCTTTAGCCGTCCTTGTTGAATATCATGTGTATATCAGAAAACACGTGTACCACTTTTAATCAACGCGTTCGATTGCTTTCTTCGACGATGCAGCTGCTGTGGTGGCACCGCAATCTCCGCCCCTATCCAACCCTAAATCAAACTAGCTCGTTTCGCTGTTATTTGCAACGGGGATGTCGGCGAGGGGATTTCTCTGGATAGAAATTCGGATGATTTATAGGTCGTTCGATATCGAGGTAATCGCGAAAGAAAACACGAGGCAAAGCTTCCTCCCGGAGAGACGTAGATGCGCTCGACAAGGTAACTGTTGGAAGGATTCCGAAGGTCCCAGTAAAATAAACAAAAAAAAGATGTGTGTATACTGAAGCACGAGCTGCGTTGCTTTATTCCGATTCTTCTTCCTCGAAATTTGGGTAACTCTAAGTTATTGCATATCAAATGGTTGATTTCGAAACGCAAACAGTCTGGCACGATTT